CAGATAGGAGTGGTGTGTTTAGTATTGTTCTGATCAGTTTAATACCTTCCACGTCTCCTATCAGTGGTCGTGTACGGCATTGATTTTTGTAACAGGGAGATGGAAGAAGAGCCTTGGTCGGTCCTCTTACTGCAAATTTGGGGCACTGCGCGGTCAAGCTAATGTGACACCAGATAGGAGTGGTGTGTTTAGTACTATTTTTTATCAGTTTAATACCTTCCGCGTCTCCTATCAGTGGACGTGTACACGGCAGTGATTTCTGTAACAGGGAGATGGAAGAAGATGCTTGGTTGGTCCTCTTACTGGAACTGTGTTGCTATGCGAATTGTGGGGTGGAGCCATTTATAAAGTACACACTGCTTTATAAAGCCATTTATAAAGTACACACTGGCGGCTTGAACCCAAGTTGGTGGCGGATAAGTCACGCAAGTCAACCGGCATTCAGAGCTAAAATACAGCAGCGTGTGGACCATTTTTAGCCCAAGGCAGCTCATCTCATCAGGCCTTTTTTACATAGGATCACTTGGCAGATATGGATTGACACCTGTCCTAGGGATCCCTGATACACACTGACACAGAGCAGAATAGGGAATGATACCCCAACATCAGGTCACTTGGCAGATATGGATTGACACCTGTCCTAAGGATCCCTGATACACACTGACACAGAGCAGAATAGGGAATGTTACCCCAACATCGGGTCACTTGGCAGATATGGATTGACACCTGTCCTAAGGATCCCTGATACACACTGACACAGAGCAGAATAGGGAATGTTACCCCAACATCAGGTCACTTGGCAGATATGGATTGACACCTGTCCTAAGGATCCCTGATACACACTGACACAGAGCAGAATAGGGAATGTTACCCCAACATCGTGTCACTTGGCAGATATGGATTGACACCTGTCCTAAGGATCCCTGATACACACTGACACAGATCAGAATAGAGAATGTTACCCCAACATCGGGTCACTTGGCAGATATGGATTGACACCTGTTCTAAGGATCCCTGATACACACTGACACAGAGCAGAATAGGGAATGTTACCCCAACATCGGGTCACTTGGCAGATATGGATTGACACCTGTCCTAAGGATCCCTAATACACACTGACACAGAGCAGAATAGGGAATGTTACCCCAACATCGGGTCACTTGGCAGATATGGATTGACACCTGTCCTAAGGATCCCTGATACACACTGACACAGGGAGCAGAATGGAATGTTACCCCAACATGGTCACTTGGCGAATTATGGATTGACACCTGTCCTAAGGATCCTGATACACACTGACACAGAGCAGAATAGGGAATGTTACCCCTACATCGGGTCACTTGGCAGATATGGATTGACACCTGTCCTAAGGATCCCTGATACACACTGACACAGAGCAGAATAGGGAATGTTACCCCTACATCGGGTCACTTGGCAGATATGGATTGACACCTGTCCTAAGGATCCCTAATACACACTGATACACACCTTCTTGGATGGTATAGACATTTTTAGCAGCTCCTGGCCCGAACACCTGACCCACATAGGAGCCGTAATAGACCGGATTAGGGAGTCGGGACTGACCCTAAAGCCCAGTAAGTGCCATATAGGAACGTGTAAAAACCTCCCCAAGATAGTAGTATGGGCCCCAGAATGTGAACAGGCCTTCCAACAGCTCAAGACGGCGCTCATTAACTCACCTGTACTTTCTTCTCCTGATCCAACTAAACACTTTCTCGTCCATACAGACGCTTCTATGCTTGGATTGGGAGCAGTATTGAGCCAAGTCGGAGCAGATGGTGGCTAACAACCCGGGGCTTATCTAAGCCGTAAACTTTTGCACAGCGAAGTATATTCACTGCCATTGAAAAGGAGTGCATAGCGGTGGTGTGGGCCCTCAAAAAGCTGCAACCTACTTGTATGGACAACCGTTTACCTTACTCACAGATCACAACAAATTTGGGGCACTGCGCGTGCAATCTAATGTGCCACCAGATAGGAGTGGTGTGTTTAGTACTATTGTTATCAGTTTAATCACTGTTACGTCCCTATCCGTTGATGTGGAGCAAGACGCAGCAGCAGAAGAGGACTAAGCCGAGGAGGTTATGGAAGAGGATGGAGTAGGAGGAGTAGAGGAGGTGGCAGCGTACTGGCAGAGTACACGCTGTAGGGCTGACACACCTGCTTGAAAATAACTAACTGCTATTCAATCTATAACAGTGAAAAAAAAATTTTGTTTTTAAATCCAAGCTATTGTGACACCAGTGAGTGAGTGGTGTGTTTAGTACTATTGTTATCAGTTTAATCACTGTTACGCCCCCTATCCGTTGATGTGGAGCAATACACAGCAGCAACAGAACAGGACTCAGTCGAGGAGGTTATGGAAGATGAGCGTGAACTGCTCAAGGCGGGAGGCGGAGTGGCGGATGGTTGAGAGGGGACAAGGAGGACAGCAGTGGTTGGCGTGGCTGAAGATGCTGGACCAGGAAGAGGCTGGCGGCTTAGAGTAGGCGAGCTGCTTGTAATCATGTGTTGATCCCATAGGCGTCTGTGATGTGAGATCATGTGCCTACGCAAAGCAGTTGTACCTAGGTGGTGTTGGACTTCCCACGACTCAGTTTCTTTTGGCACAGGTTGCAAATGGCATCGCTGTTGTCAGAGGCAGACACACAAAAAAAATTCCACACTGCTGAGCTCTGCAATGACGGCATTCTGGGGGTGGACACAGCATGCGTTGATTGGCGTGCTGTCGGGCTGACCCCGGGTGTCGATGCATGCTGTCTGACTGTGCCACTAGCTCCTTGCGACGACCTCCCCCTGCTTCCAACTCGTCTCCTCCTCCTCCCTGTCTCCCCATCTGAACTTTTCGCCCTGTTCTTCTTCTTGTGGCGGGCACCCGCGTGACATCCATGGAAGCATGCGTCATCATCAACGCTTCACTTGTATCTGACAACTCAGCAAAGGAAGCAGCAGCGGAGTCTAACATCATCATCATCATCACACCGTACGTCTATGTGTGTAATGCTGCCTGCCTGAGACATATCCCTGTTATCTACATCCTCTGGCAATAATGGTTGCGCATCACTCATTTCTTCAAACGGATGTGTGAATAACTCCTCTGACATACCAACTGAAGCGGCTGCGGTGCTAGTTTTGGTGGTGGCGGCAGGCTGGTGAGTGGTATCTTGAGAGGTGCCTGAAGTTAAGCTGGAGGAGGATGGTGCGTCAAGGTTCTGAGCGGAGGCTGTAGAAGATTGGGTGTCCTGTGTTAGCCAGTCAACTATGTCCTCAGAACTTTTCAAGTTCAGGGTACGTGGCCTCTGAAAACTGGGCATTATTCTAGGGCCAAAGGGAATCACAGCACCACGACCACGATGGCCCCTGCGGGGTGGCCTGCCTCTGCCTGCCATTTTTGTTGGGATTAGTGGTACTATGCGTGCAAGCTACTGTGAGACCAGATATGAGTGGCAATGTGCACTGGCACAGTTGTGCAGAGCACAGGCTGTAGGCCTGACACCCTCTTGAAGATAACTAACCGCTATTCAATCTATAACAGTGAAAAAAGTTTTTTGTTTTTTTAAATCCAAGCTATTGTGACACCGGATCTATGGAAATGTCACCAGATTCACTGTTAGCGCAACACAATCTCGCTTTAAGGACACTGACTGCTATTCAATCTATAACAGTGAAAAGTGGTTGTTTTTTTAAATACAAGCTTTGTGTCACTAGATCTGCGGTACCGTGATCCACTGTTAGCGAATAATAATCTCGCTTTTAAGGACACTTTGACTGCTATTCAATCTATAACAGTGAAAAGTGTTTTTGTTTTTTTAAATACAAGCTTTGCGTCATCAGATCTAAGTGGTGGCACTGGTCACCGTATCCACTGTTAGCGTAACACACCCGCTTTAAGGACACTGACTGCTATTCAATCTATAACAGTGGAAAAAGTGTTTTTTGTTTTTAAATACAAGCTTTGTGTCACCAGATCTAAGTGGTGGCACTGGTCACCGTATCCACTGTTAGCGTAACACACCCGCTTTAAGGACACTGACTGCTATTCAATCTATAACAGTGAAAAAAGTGTTTTGTTTTTTTAAATCCAACCTTTGTGTCACCAGATCTAATTGGTAGCACTGGTCACCGTATCCACTGTTAGCGTAACACACCCGCTTTAAGGACA